ATATCTGCCGTAGTTAACTCTATTTATAGAGCCCTGATGACAAGACTTCTAGACAAACAGGAACTGCCGCCAAAACTGAAAACTTGACGTGGATCTTAAATATATAAGCAATTAAACAACATCTTACATTTCTTTTCACACAATACGTCTCCTTGCAGTACTGTATCAACACTAATTCGGCTGACTTTTATATTTGATCCAATTGGTAGATAGGCTGTATTTATGCCATAACGGTGCACAGCTGATAGAAAGGGACACCTACTGGTTAAAGCACGTTATTGCATTTTATAATTTTATTATTAGATATTAATAGGATCCCTAGAAAGTATATTCTTTACTCGTCGTTATTCTCTACTAATAGTTAATTAAAGACTGTATATAATGACTATTTTGCACATCCCATTCAAGATTTCAAGATTTTCTAAGGTTTATTGACATTAAAGACTGTATATAATGACTATTTTGCACATCCCTTTCAAGATTTCAAGATTTTCTAAGGTTTATTGACATATCATATTATACACAACTACGGTGTAGTTATGCAATGAATGAAAAACTTGGGTCGCAGGTTCCTCAACAGTGCATTACAAGACATCTATCAATATGTGTGTACCTCCACCATTACATTGTCATATTCTACATATTTCTTATACTATCTACATACATCTTATAAGAGTATAATACATATGTATAATATCAGTTAAAATAAGTGCTTGAACATAGTTAACATTGCAGGAAAGCAATATATTAGACGTTAAGTACTTTGTCAGGCTTAATATTTATCTGTAGATACAATGTTCACTGTGTGTGCTGTGTGCTCTGCATGTGTGACCATCAAAGAGGGTTTCATCCCTCCATATTCATCTTCTATACCCCCAAAGCTTTTTTCTTATTCAAAAGAAGACCTTAACCTAAAGCATTCTTTAATGTTTAAATAAAGCCTTATTAGTTTGTCTGTTTTGCACATCCTCCTATTAATATCTAATAATACAATTATAAAATGCAATAACGTGCTTTAACCAGTAGGTGTCCCTTTCTATCAGCTGTGCACCGTTATGGCGTAAATACAGCCTATCTACCAATTGGATCAAATATAAAAGTCAGCCGAATTAGTGTTGATACTGCAAGGAGACGTATTGTGTGAAAAGAAATGTAAGATGTTGTTTAATTGCTTATATATTTAAGATCCCTGTCAAGTTTTCAGTTTTGTCGGCAGTTCCTGTTTGTCTAGAAGTCTTGTCATCAGGGCTCTATAAATAGAGTTAACTACGGCAGATATGTAATATTTAAAGGGGACCTATCATGCAAAATGCACTTTTGTACGTCTTTTATACATGAATATGTGTCCCCGGTGTTCCAACTCACCAAGTGTCAGAAAACACAACCCTCTCTATTTTCCTCCATACCCAAATCTCTAAAAAAGGGGCTGCAACGGATCTGATAAAAACTGATCCAGATTTGAACACTGTCCTGACGTCAGGACAGTGGCGCTACGGCTATTGGGCCAACTCCACCAATCAGGAGGAGACAGCCACGGCCATTGCCGTTCGAAAGCACTGGAGACGCTGTAGTACATATGCCAGGCCTGTAGGTTGTGCTGTTCTCACAGAATCAGCCCTTGCAAAAACAGGGGTAAAAAAGTCCAAATTGAGCGAAATGAGGCATGGCTAAAATGCATGATCTGTTTGGTATTTTGGAAAAAAATAAGTATAAATATGCCTTATATAGGCATGGTCCTACACTATATTATTATAATATAGCATGATAGTTCGACTTTAATGCAGCCGAAACGTGTATTACAATGCCGTTATGTGATGACTTTCAAAGAGAAAAGCAAGCACACTCGGAATAATGTATTATTTAATTTTTGTATACAGTCTATGGTTGCTACAGAGGATTGTGGGTAATGTAATGTCTTCCGCCATCCAAAACTCATAGAAAACTACTTGTTTCTCAGAATTGAAGGGGAAAACGTGACAAAAGCATTGTACACACACTAAAACCTATCAATGTCGTTTAATTAACAAGGATACAGTAATCTGGTGTTTTTGAGTTGATGAGTAGTGGAGATATCACTGTCAAATCAATCGACAGTAAGGGGAATACTTACTTCCGGGTGTACAATTCTCCGTTATCCAATGGGAATGGACGCTCACATTGCCTTTAACAGCCTCCGACACAAACGAATGCCGTGCTTCCATGAGCGTCAAATCCCACCGCAGATGGGAATACATTGCAATCAGTTGAAAGCTATTTGTGTCTGTTTATGAAGCTGAAGGAGCCTAGGAGCGTCCCAACTGCACACCTCGGGACCAAGCGTCGCTCCTGGACGTTTATGGAGTGAGAGTTTGTTGGTAAAGAAGACGAGTGGAAGACGGCTTTCAACACCCCTCTGGGCCATTTGGAATACCTGGTGATGCCGTTTGGACTCACACATGCCCCTGCTATATTCCAAAACCTGGTAAATGTTGTCCTTGGGCACATGTGTAACCATATTGTTTTCATATACCTTGATGACATTCAGATTTTTTTTTAAATGAACAAAATGAGCATGTGAAGCACAACTGTTTTGGAGAATCGCATGTTCGTTAAAGCAGAGTAGTGAGTTTCATGCTTCTACAGTTTCTTCTCTCAGCTACATCATGGCCAAAGGACAAGTAAGAATGGACCTGGCCAAGGTGAAAGGTGACAGGCCCAGTTTGGAAAGCTGTAAGCAACTACAAAAGTTCCTGGGTTTTGCTAACTTTTATAGAAGGCTTATTTGCAACTATAGCCGCATTGAATGCCCTCTAACAACTCTCACTTCCCCTTCCCGAATGTTTAGGTGGGTACCTGAAAGAGTCTTTTGCTGAGAGTTAAAACAATTAGAGACAGTTTTAGACTGACTGGCAATGAAATATTCTGTTAAATAGAGATACATAAACGTAACCATAAAGGTAAATAATATTGGCAGTTCTTGATTCATTATTTTTGATAGTTTTTATCTTTTGCAACAGCTTAAATGTAACATCTGGATTTCAACAACATTTCAAAATACTTAAATTTGTTCATGATTACATAAATACACAAATAAACTATAAATGACCTCCTGAACAAAAAACAATTGACACTTGATGAAGCCAAATACCAAACAGTCCAAATCAGTTGCGTGCATTTCACTTTTTGTAATTCCTCTGAAGCATTCTGTCTGCTGCTGATCATAAACATACAACGTTTAGAGTTATTCACGTTGAAAAAAAAATAGGAGGTGGTAGTCACAACCAATTATTGCTTGAATTGAATAATATTCAAACTGTATTGATCCTGTATAGATTTGTTTTACTGGTTAATAAAAGAGAAACTAAAAGAGAATAGCATGACATTGTTGTGAAAGCGGGGATCTTAATTATAAATGCTGATAAACACCAATGTCTTTCCTCTGAAGTACTCTCTCTGCCGCTGATCATAAATATAAAAAGTGCACATCATTTCAAAGATAACTTTCAGGGAGGAGTTGTTCACTTTGAGAAAAAAAGTTGAAGTGGTAAAGCTGCTTTTTATCTGATCACAGCAGTTTGTTGAAGTGGAAGAGCTTTATCTTGTCAGAGAACATGTAAGACACCCACAATATCTTTTTACGGTTTTTATCTTTGTATGCATGCTCAAAGAAAGTTCCATTTCCTGATCTAGCTATATCTAATTTGCCCATTTACTAAAGTTCTGTAATTAACTTCAAATAAAAGGCAGTTTACTTTTTTAATGAAACATGAGCAAATCCTTCAGTTAAAGTCCCAGATTATGATTGTGATGAACATACATACATTTTTGTATTAATATGCACTAGTTCTTACAGTATGTACAAAGTGGCTGGTACCTATGAATGTTAAATACCTGCAATAGATTTATACTCACATGGCCACAAGAGCTCAAGAACAACAAGAACATACTGTATAGCACACAGGCTATTTTACATATTTGAACAAGTTAGACCAATGCTGAGACTAGAGTATTGTTGTATATTTCTGAATTATTCAATAATGTTTGAAAGTTTTAATTTTTCTTATTTACATCATATTTTACTCAATAAGGCACCTTCAATATTATAGCTTTCAGGAACTGTGGGCTGATCAGCAGATGTTTTTAAGAAGCTGTTTTTATGTTGATGGGTAAAAGGATTGTTACAAATACTAATTTAATTGAGGCAAACAAAAGTTGGCAAAAACTAATTAAATTACTATTTATTTATTACTGATATTAATCCTAAACAAAAACACTAAATACATGTTATTCATCAATTCGAACAAAGTCATTCTTATTCATGAAATGAGGCATTTTGAATAGTTTTAAATAACTCAATTTAAACTAAATTGTAAAAGCATGATTGCATGTTTGGTATCCAAACAGACACCAATGCTAAGCTTCTTTCTCACAGATCCAATGTATATGGTCCTCACAGGTCTGGTCGTTCCACCTTTTGGTGTCAGGTTTGATGACTGCACAGTCCTCTTCACCCACTCCTCCATTATTAGGCTCTCCTTTGACCCACAACCTAACAGGTATTACAGGAAAACAAGATAAACTAAAAGATTGGACATCATCAAATAACTATAAGTAATACAGCCATGTTCTTTTCTTAAAACCCAAATGAATCTTCTGGTGAAAGGGACAGACACCCTACGTTTAAATGCATCCTGTGTGTTGTGTTAACTCCCATTACAGAAACATGTGAAACATTTAGAAAGGTCACAACATAAACCAGCGTCTGTATTTAAAACCAAAGTAAAGCCTTACGTTAGATTCAGTGGAGATCCATCCACCCATTTCCAGGTCCCCTCCTCTTTTGTGTCATTCAAACCAATCCAAGTGTCTCCCTTGATCATGCTAGAGATTAATTCCTGTTCACATATAAAAAAATGCAGTTTACTGGGATGGACATCAACATTCAGATAACTTTTCCCTTTTTACTAGCTCAGAAATATGTAATTAACACCATTGTTGTGACGTAATCATTATAGCTGACAGACACATTTGCTAGTATATGTACAATAAAAACATTATTGATTGATAAAAGCAGGAGTTATACAATCACAAGTGTTAAAGCAGCACACATTACCTGTTCTTCATCACTGTCTACGGTCACCAGATGTGCTCCTCCGGCTCTGCAGTTTTGTCTGCTTTGTTCCCAAGAAGCTTTCTCAGTATAGAGGAGATAAAAGGAACTACCCAACTTCCTCCATTCTTCAGGACACGTTTTCTCTGTAAAAGTTTTAATATCTTGTTGATTTACTGCTTTAACTGCTGAAATATGGAACTCTTGAGTGCATTATATGTCACTTTTGTAATAATAATGAAAAACATATTTATTAAGCATTTTTAGAGGGATCAAAAGAGATCACACATTTCATTGCAGAACAACTACTTCTCTTTTTTGGGATTTAAATAACTGTTTCGATGTGATCTAGTCAGGCACCACAGCACTGAGACTGATCTTGTTAAAGTCTTCAATGACATCCACTTAAACACAGACATTGGCAACATCTCGGTGTTAGTTACTTGACCGACCGGAAATTATTATTATTATTATTATGCTGCAAATATCTGGAACAAACTACCACTAAGTTCTTCTTCCTATTGCTTATATTAAAAAGTAATTAAGACAAGGAAACTGGCCATAAGCATAGTTTACAGAGAAATATAAATATGGTGGGTGAAGAAAAATAAAACAAACTATAAATGAAATCACTCACAACTAAGTCATTAAAAACTCATTCTTGATTATCATTAATGAAAAGTGTCATTGTGTAACTATTTTATGAAAGTATCAATAGTCAGCCTTAGACTATCAATATCAAGGTATTTTGTACAAAATATTATGATCATTGATATCTTACATACACATACCGAGCCCTATGCAAACCCCCACATGAAGCACTCACCCTTGCCCATCAAACTCTGGAGCCTGTCCACCTCTCTGGTCTTTTCGGTGAGGTTGGCCTTCAGTCTGTCTCTCTCTTCAGTCACTGAGGACAGGTCTGCTTTGACAGCGGAGAGATCTGCAGCTGCAACACCATCTGAGTAATGGCCTGAAATGATCAAGGGACACGTTTTCTAAACAGAAAATACCTCATACTGATACAAACTTAAGTAAAAGGCAGAGGGCAGAAAGTGCATTTGAAAATTACAAATTCCAAATTACATTAACTTATAAAACAGACTAACAGTAGACTTTGAGTCCGATGAGAACAACCAGCGGGAAAACACTCAGCAGCCCAAAACCGAGAACAGACGCTCGGGGAAATCTCCTGGGACCTGAACACAGAGAAGACCAGTGAGTATAATACATCCACAATCCACAGCTCACTCCGTCTGACTGACACTTACCTTCTTGTATTGTTGCTGATCTTAGTGTTAGGGGTTTTACAGTTTCAACATCGTCATTGATTTCCTCCATTGCTTTTCAAAAATGTCAACTTTTTTCTTCAGGTCAGCTCTGCAGCAGGGACTGCAGCGCATGTGACCGAGGTTGAGGGTTTCAATTTCTAAATATGTTATCCTTCTGAGGAAGTGACTCATCTAAGATTTGCTGAAAGAAGTTTCTATGACAATCTTCCAGATGATTATCGGACACACCATATTAAAGTTACAGACATTCTCTCTCTCTCCAGACCTCCATGTATATATAAAGGCTCTTTACAATATAATTGTTCTGTTTTTATTTAAAACAAATACATGTCATATCATTTTAATGTTGAAGTTTGTCTGCTGCCAAAATTATCTTCCCCAAAAAAACATCCACCACTGAATATTTTAAGTTACAGACCTTAAAAATAGTAATTACATGAACACTTACATAAGTTGAGTCTGAAATCTTCTTCATTGTGAATAAGAATGCAGATATTTCTAAATCAAACTTTACCTTTCAAATTCCCTCCTGGAAATATCCAGCAAAGAAAATAATATAAAAGTTAATTTAGGCAATGATGATTGTCACTTGTCCTCCTCCATGACTCATGTCTTTATGGTATGAGTGTGTTTTCTATATCTTTTTCTCAGTATAAATGATTTGTGCTTGGTGTGTTTTGTTTTCATCAGTCTTTGTTCGTATCGCAGTCACTGCCCAGGGAGCTCTCCTCGGTCAGCACAGCCAGCCACTATGTGAAATATCACTATAAGGAGGCTGTGGAGCAGTGGGATAGTGCACTAAACTTCGGATCAGGGGAGAGCTGGTTCCAGGGCTGCAGTCAGCATGTCGTTGTTTCCCTGGGTAAGACACTTCAGCCCATTGGGGATTGCCCACAGTATTACATTAACAGAATAATATTCTTTAAATCTGTGCCAGTTCATCTTGTGCCATCAAGAGAGCCAGCTTTTCACACCAAAAAACATTTGTAGCCACTTTCAGAATGATGACATGCTATTCTCTTTTTATTAACCAGTAAAATAGATCTTTACAGGATCAGAATATTTTGAATATTATTAATTTGTATGGCTTTGTAAGATGATATGTCTCTATTCAACCCAATGGACATGATTATCACACTTGTTTCAGTCTTAAATCTGTATTATCAATGTGCTAGATATAAAATGATCTGTGACTTCCTCAAATTATGTGTGACTTCCTCAAAAAGATAAAGCATTTAGACCAGACCAGCAACCACACTTTCCCCGTCACATACTTCAGGATACTTGCTGCAGAGCTGACCTTCAGGAAAGAGTTGGCATTCCCATGAGCAATGGAGGAAGTCTATGACGATGTTGACGATGTCAAAACCCTAAGCTCAAGATCATCAACAATACAAGAAGGTAAGAGTGTCAGACAGAGTGAGCTGTGGATTTTGGATTTATTATACTCCCTGGTCTTCTCTGTGTTCAGGTCCCAGGAGATTTTCCCCAGCGTCTGTTCTCGGTCTGGGGCTGCTGAGTGTTTTTCCCCGCTGTTGTTTCCTACTGGCTGGACTCATCGGCCTCGCTGTCCACCGTGAGTCTTTCTTTTAATACGTTTAATAATGTCATTTTGAACGTGTGATTTTCAAGAGCAATATTCTGCTCTGAAAGATGCACATTTGATCAAAACATCTATAATTGTTCTACCTTTCTCCTAGGGCCATATTGGGAACAAATATTGACTTTGGTTTGTGTCAGTATGATTGCATCAGGTAATTTAAGAAACATCTATTTTCATTCCAGACCATTACTCAGTAGGTGGTGCAGCTGCAGATCTCTCCGCTGTCAAAGCAAACCTGACCTCAGTGACTGAAGAGAGAGACAACCTGACTGAGCGTCTCCAGGCCAGAGATCAGCTGATCAACCAGCTGAAGGCCAACCTCACCAAAAAGACCAGAGAGGTGGACAGACTTCAGTGTTTGAGTGAGTGCTTCATGTGGGGGGTTTGCATAGGGCTCGGTATGTGTATGTAAGATATCAATTATCATAATATTTTTTACAAAATACCTCAATATTGATATTCTAAGGCTGACTATTGATCCTTTCATAAAATGAAACTTTTCATTAATGATAATCATGAATTAGTTTTTAATGACTTAGTTGTGAGTGATTTCATTTATAGTTTGTTTAATTTTTCTTCACCCATCATATTTATATGTCTCTGTAAACTATGCTTATGGCCAGTTTCCTTGTCTAAATTACTTTTAATATAAGCAATAGGAAGAAGAACTTAGAGGTAGTTTGTTCCAGATATTTGCATAATAATAATAATAATAATAATAATAATAATAATAATAATAATAATAATAATAATAATAACAATAATAATAATAATAATAATAATAATAATAATAATAATAATAATAATAATAATAATAATAATAATAATAAAGGATAACAAGGTTTCAAACCAATTTAGAACTGTTGCCGAAAGTCAGACCCAGTTTTCCAGTCGGTCTAGTAACTAACACCAAAATGTTGCCACTGTCTGTGTGGATGTCATTGAAGACATTAACAAGATCAGTCTCAGTGCTGTGGTGCCTGACTAGATCACATCGAAACAGTTATTTCAATCCCAAAAAAACAGAAGTAGTTGTTCTGCAATGAAATGTGTGATCTCTTTTGATCCCTCTAAAAATGCTTAATAAATATGTTTTTTCATTATTATTACAAAAGTGACATATAATGCACTCAAGAGTTCCATATTTCAGCAGTTAAAGCAGTAAATCAACAAGGTGTTAAAACTTTTACAGAGATAACGTGTCCTCAAGGATGGAGGATGTTCGATTGTTCCTGTTACCTCCTCTCTACTGAGAAAGCTTCTTGGGAACAAAGCAGAGACAACTGCACAGCCGGAGGGGCAGATCTGGTGACCGTAGACAGTGAGGAAGAACAGGTAATGTGTGCTGCTTTAACACTTGTGATTGTATAACTCCGGCTTTTATCAATCAATAATGTTTTTATTGTACATATACCAGCAAATGTGTCTATCAGCTGTAATGATTACGTTACAACAATGGTGTTAATTAGATATTTCTGAGCTTGTAAAAAGGGAAAGTTATCTGAATGTTGATATCCATCCCAGTAAACTGCATTTTTAATATGTGAACAGGAATTCATAACTAGCATGATCAAGGAAGACACTTGGATTGGTTTGAGTGACAGAGAAGAGGAGGGGACCCGGAAACGGGTGGATGGATCTCTACTGAATCTGAATCTGACGTAAGGCTTTACTTTGGTTTTAAATACAGACGCTGGCTTATGTTGTGACCTTTCTAAATGTTTCACATGTTTCTGTAATGGGAGTTAACACAACACACAGGATGCATTTAAACGTAGGGTGTCTGCCCCTTTCACCAGAAGATTCATTTGGGTTTTAAGAAAAGAACATGGCTGTATTACTTATAGTTATTTGTATTTGATGTACAATCTTTTAGTTCATCTTGTTTTCCTGTAATACCTGTTAGGTTTTGGAGCACAGGACAGCCTGATAATTTTGACGAAGAGGACTGTGCAGAAATACGGAGTATTGTTCACTCCCAAAGCTGGAACGACAAGCCCTGTAAGATCGATATGCATTGGATCTGTGAGAAATAAGCTTAACATTGGTGTCTGTTTGGATACTAAACATGCAATCATGCTTTTACAATTTATTTTAAATTGAGTTATTTAAAACTATTCAAAATGCCTGATTTCATGAATAAGAATTACGTTTCTTGATTCGATAAATCCCAATTTGTTTTTTTTTAGGGTTTTTTTCAGATTAATATCAGTAATAAATAAATAGTCATTTAATTTCTTTTAGCCAACTTTTATTTGCCTCAATTAAATTAGTATTTGTATTAATCCTTTTACATATCAACATAAAAACAGCTTATTAAAAACATCTGCTGATCAGCCCACAGTTCCTGAAAGCTATAATATTGAAGGTGCCTTATTGAGTATAATATGATATAAATAAGAAAAAGAAAAACTGTCAAACATTATTGAATAATTCAGAAATATACAACAATACTCTAGTCTCAGCATTGGTCTAACTTGTTCAAATGTGTGAAATAGCCTGTGTGTTATACAGTATGTTTCCTAACAATGAGCTCTTGTGGCCATGTGAGTATAAATCTATTGCAGGTATTTAACATTCATAGGTACCAGCCACTTTGTACATACTGTAAGAACTAGTGCTGTCAATTAATACAAAAATGTATGTATGTTCATCACAATAATAATCTGGGACTTTAACTGCAGGATTTGCTCATGATTCATTTAAAAAGTAAACTTATTTGAAGTTAATTACAGAACTTTAGTAAATGGGCAAATTAGATATAGCTAGATCAGGAAATGGCAACTTTCTTTGAGCATGCATACAAAGATAAAAACCGTAAAAATATATTGTGGGTGTATTACATGTTCTCTGACAAGATAAAGCTCTTCCACTTCAACAAACTGCTGTTATCAGATAAAAAGCAGCTTTACCACTTCACCTTTTTTCTCTCAAAATGAACAACTCCTCCCTGAAAGTTATCTTTGAAATGATGTGCACTTTTTATATTTATGATCAGCGGCAGACAGAGTACTTCAGAGGAAAGACATTGGTGTTTATCAGCATTTAAAATCAAGATCCCTGCTTTCACAACAATGTCATGCTATTCTCTTTGTATTAACCAGTAAAACAGATCTATACAGGATCAATACATTTAGAATATTATTCATCTGTATGGTTTTGTAAGATGATATGTCTCTATTTAACACAATGGACTTGATTATCTCACTTGTTTCAGTCTTAAATCTGTATTGTCAATGTGCTTTGGCAATAGTATGTTTTTAATATGGGCATGTCAATAAAGCTTATTTGAATTTGTCTTGACTCAGCGTGAGAAAAAAACAAACATGTCCTTATATCTTTGAGATAGATATATAGATAATTATCTGGTACAGTTGCTAGGATACCTTTAGCACTTAAGTGGTGTGACGTATTGATGGTGTTTTGTTTTGTTTTATCCTTTACGCTATTGCCATTTTCCCAGACATCAGACATCATATTTCAAACTATCTAGATGAAAATATTTTATAGGGCTGTTTTTAAGACCTTGCAGCTCTGGGTCTTAGCAGACCCTAGGATCCATGCTCAGTTCCATACATGGAAAACGTTGGACAGCTACCTTAGGTGCTTGGTAACACAAATGGAAGTCGCACTCTTTTTTCTCTTTTTCTGTTGTCACATGTGTTATCATTATTTTCAGTTTTCCCGTACAGGGTTAAATACACTGTTGGAAAATACAAGAAAGGTGATAGAAATTATGTACACAGGTTTAGAAGCTCTAAAAGGTGCATTTTTGAGAAGTGATTGGAGAACTATGTGTAAAGTTCATGTTCATGTGGATAGTTATGTAAATTGTAATCCCTGTAATGATACTGTATGATGTCCTTTTTGTTGTTCTGTTTATGTTTATAATGTTTCATGTGGAACCTACTTGAGCAGAGGCCTGTACTACGAAGCTGGATTTTCGCTTAGCCGGCTAACTTCAGGGAAATCTCGGGCTTTCCGGTCCTACGACGCTGGTTCTCTTTTTAGCAGGCTAGATTTCCATGGTAACTTATGCTGAGCGGCAAACCTGCTCCGGAGCAGGTTAGGTTGCAGGCTAAGAGATCAACTCAGTGAAAGCACCGCCTGCTGACCAATCAGAGCTCCGTGTGCGGAGTTTAAAGCGATCAATTCATATTACAGGATAGAGGAAATACAGAAAAACTGTGTTACGATATCCGATAGGACCCAAACGCAGGACACGGCAGAGTGTTGGAAAAAGGTTTATTGTGAGGTGGAGGAGCGTGGAGAGTAATCCGGTTGGAATGATGACTGGTGGCTGCAGGTGATGGTAACTAGGCGGCTGGAGAGTGATCCTGGAGCATAAGAGAAACAGATGAGAAAAGTATTCCGTGTACAGAGAAATAGCTTAAATCGGCTAAGAAGGCTGAGAGTTACCACTGGGGTTTAAACAACGATCTGGCGCTGACATGTTGTGGAGCCTCCGCTGATATACCATTAGTAAATGGCTGAATGGGAATCAGGTGTGTAAGGCTGATTGCAGCAGGTGGAGATTTGCAGCAGGTGGAGATTGAGCCGGGAGCCAGGAGTGACAGCCACCACGCCCACACAGACAGGGAAGGGAACACACACTCACAAGGGAGGTGGCTGAAGAGTAGAGCCACCACAGTACCCCCCCCTTAAGGGACGCCTCCAGGCGGTCTACCAGGTCTACCAGGTCTACCAGGGTTATCACGGTGGAAGTCCCGAACCAGGGACGCGCCCACGATGTTTCGCCGGGGAACCCAAGACCTCTCCTCTGGACCATAGCCCTCCCAATCCACAAAATATTGGAATCCCCTTCCACGGCGACGAACGTCCAACAATCGCCTGACGGTGTAGGTTGGGTGATCATTGATGATGCGGGGGGGTGGGGGAACACTCACTGGAGGAGACAAGGGGCTGCTGGCAACAGGTTTCAACAGAGAAACATGAAATGTCGGATGAACCTTCATGTGTGGGGGAAGCTTGAGTTTTACTGCAGATGGGTTGATAACTGAGTCGATGATGAAGGGGCCGACATAACGTGGCGTGAGTTTCTTCGACTCTGTCTTGAGTGGGAGATCTTTGGAGGAAAGCCAAACACTCTGACCTGGTAAGTAGTTGGGAGCCGGGGTCCTGTGGCGGTCTGCGATGAGGCAGTTGCGGGCAGCGGAGCGGAGCAGGGCGGCTCGGGTGTCCCTCCACACCTTATGACAGCGACGAAGGTGGGTCTGAACGGAAGGAACAGCAACCTCCTCTTCCTGGGATGGAAACAGGGGTGGTTGGAAACCCATGGCACAATGAAAGGGTGAAATACCTGTGGCTGCATTTGACAGGGCGTTGTGGGCATATTCGATCCATGGCAGATGTGGGCACCATGACGAAGGGTTCCTGAAAGCCACACAGCGAAGAGCCGCCCCCAGATCCTGGTTGGCCCGTTCCGTTTGCCCATTCGTCTGAGGATGATATCCAGATGATAGGCTCACTGATGCTCCCAGAGCCTGACAGAAGGCTTTCCAAACGTGGGAAATGAACTGGGGACCCCGGTCAGAGACGATGTCGGTGGGAATCCCATGGAGTCGAACAACATGATTGACCAGAAGATCTGCAGTCTCTCGGGCTGTGGGAAGCTTGGGAAGAGCAACAAAGTGTACCATCTTGGAAAATCTGTCCACAATAGTTAGGATGATGGTATTTCCTTGTGACAGTGGAAGTCCAGTGACAAAATCCAAGGCCACATGCGACCAAGGACGCCTAGGTACCGGCAGCGGGCGAAGCAGGCCAGAGGGAGATTGGTGGGAGGACTTGGCGCGGGCACATACTGTACAGGCAGCAACAAAGGCCCTGGTGTCTTGAGCCATGGAAGGCCACCAGAACCGTTGTTTTAGAATAAACAGTGTGCGATGGACACCAGGATGACAGGAGAGACGGGAGGTGTGTGCCCACTGCAGGACCTTGGAGCGAACAGGGGTAGGCACAAAAAGACTATTAGCTGGGCAGTTACCTGGGTTAGGTTGCGCCCGCTGAGCCTCCTTAACCAATGACTCAATCTCCCAGGTAACAGCCGCCACCACGCAGGAGGCAGGCAGGATAGTGTCTGGATTGGCAGCTGGTCCTTCGGAAGCGAACTGGCGAGAGAGAGCGTCCGGCTTGAGGTTCCGTGACCCTGGACGGTAGGTAAGGGTGAATGAGAAGCGGCCGAAATACAGGGCCCATCGAGCCTGACGAGAGTTAAGGCGCTTGGCAGATTGGATGTACGCCAAGTTTTTGTGGTCTGTCCATACAATAAAAGGGAGCTCGGCTCCCTCCAGCCAGTGCCTCCACTCCTCTAGGGCAAGTTTGACAGCCAGCAGCTCTCTGTTACCCACGTCATAGTTCTTCTCAGCTGGAGTGAGGCGGCGAGAGAAAAATGCACAAGGATGTAATTTTTGGTCTCGTTCCGAGCGCTGGGAAAGAACTGCCCCTACCCCGGTGTTGGAGGCATCGACCTCCACCACAAACTGGCGAGAGGAATCAGGGTGGATGAGCACAGGGGCAGTGGTGAAAAGTCTCTTTAGCTCCGAGAAGGCTGCATCGCACTCTGGGGTCCAGAAAAAAACCAGTTGTAGGGGAAGTGAGTCTGGTTAAAGGGCCCGCCACTCTGCTGTAGTCTCTGATGAAGCGCCGATAAAAATTGGCGAAACCAAGAAACTGTTGAAGCAGTTTAACTGAGGTTGGTTTGGGCCACCCCGCCACCGCTTGGATCTTCTCAGGGTCGGTCCTAATCTTTCCTTCCTCAACGATGTAGCCCAGGAATGAAACTGTGTTGACATGAAATTCACATTTCTCCGCCTTCACAAAGAGTCTGTTTTCAAGGAGTCTCTGCAGCACCTGCCTGACATGGATAATGTGCTCCTCCTTGTTACGGGAGAAAATGAGAATGTCATCCAAGTAGACAAAGACTGACCGGTTGAGGAGGTCACGGAGCACATCGTTCACCATTGACTGAAAAACTGCTGGGGCATTCGTCAGTCCAAAAGGCATCACCAGATACTCAAAGTGACCGAGTGGTGTATTAAAGGCAGTCTTCCACTCGTCCCCTTCACGGATTCTGACGAGGTGGTAGGCATTGCGGAGGTCCAGTTTGGAAAAGATGGTGGCTTCCTGGAGGGGTTCAAAGGCGGAGTTAATGAGGGGTAATGGATATTTGTT